CCCCCCGAGTCTTAGTTGGTCTTGAGGTGAATCTGTAGATTTTATTGAAGTTAAATCTCAGTATGTATCACAATATGAAGGTAATTTTATATCTCCTGGTTCTGCCTTCTTTCGTTGTTGGCTCTAAACTTCACTCGGTTCTTTAAATCGTCTCATCATGTGGACTAACCATCACCTCAGACTTTCATCAGACTAGTGAACTCTTCAACACATTTATTTTATCTGAACAGAGTCCAGTTTCGGTCAGCATCACATTTTGTCCTTTTAACATTTGGACCGATGTTTTGAACCAGACACAGAATCCCCATTGGGCTCCATGCCAACCTGTCAGAGGGCGAGCCGGTGTGTCAGAATCTTCAGCAGGTCTCCACGCTCGTAAACTCACAGGGTTTCTTCCATGGAAAAATGGGCTTTCGTCAGGCCTTGGAGAGGGGCCAACTCATCATGAACCAGGTACCTGAAAGGATCTTTGTCTGACCCTGTAGTTCAGCTGTGTGTGTCTGTGGTGTGCTGTGTGTGATAAATGAATGGTATTACAGAGTGATGTCGTTCATAGAAATGATTAAATAAATCAGGCTGAGGATCTCCTGAGGAAATGCATGTTATTCATTTGTTTTTTGTCCACAKGTCTATGTGATATTTTTGCTAACACACAAAGACACAGAGAAATTCATTATAAACATTTTGTTTTCAGTATTCTGAACACGAAGTAGTTTAATTTGTTCAGAACCAATAAAACCCACAAATAGGAATTAATTGATTTACAATGTGTGTAAAGTGAACTTTGATCAGGTTCTGGTAAAGTTCTTGAAAACTTGTGAAATGCCTCCTGGTACTAGCTAAGGTAAATGTGTAACTACAGTCAGGAATCAGATCTCAGATGTGTTTTTGTTTTTGTTTCTGTTTTAGGTGGAGTTGGAGCTGAGAGCCCAGGTGAGACGCTTCGTCAAACTGACACGTCACCTGCCTCACCACATGGATGGACACCAACATGTTCACGTACTGCCAGGTAACAAAATAAAACAGAACGTAACATAAAAATCTAATTAGCAGTAATACGTTATCTGTGACAATGCTGAGTGCTGAAATTTGCTGAAGAAGCTAAAACTAAGTTGTTAAAGTTAAAACAAGTAGAGCAAAATTTAAATGCAGCAGAACATGAGCTAAAAACTGTAAGCAGTAGAACAATAGTTTAGAAGCTCAAAGTGGCAGAACAGTAGCTAAAAGTAGCCCAAGAAGACACATATATAGCAAGTATGCTGAAGCAGATTRTAGAAAGAACAATGATTTATGATTGATTTTTATGATTTATTTTGGACATGAGATAAACAATAGAAACAAACAAGCATAATTAAATAAAATCCAAAATGAGATAAAAGAACAATCCACTTAGTTCATTAACAAAAAGAGTAAAGTTAACTTAACATGTCCCAAAGGGAGTAGGAAGAAGCAAATGCTTGTTTAATCATACTCCTATCAATGCTGCCCCCTGAGCATACATATTGCAATATACATATTTTCACTCAAAAGAACATCTATAACGTAAATGAATAATGAACAAATGATCTGTGATGACACCCARTGAAAATCAAAGCTCCTCAGCCTCCCTGTACCATGTGAAAACCATATTTTTGTACTGCCTTTTAAACTGGGTTATGCAGGACTTGAACATTGCTTAAGCCCTGCAGACAATGTGTTCCATAACTCCACTCCATATATTGAAATGCAAAACTTTTTAAAAATTTTATGGACACAAAAATGTTTTAGATTGTATTTCCATCAAATTATATTCCCCATCTCTAATAAAAATAAACAATTYCTGAATATTTCCAGTAAGGAAGTTCTTTGTTACTTAAACATAAATGGTGCTGAGGTTTATAAATGTAATTGATCAATGTTAATGTTAACAGCTGAGGGTGAAAACTGTCACATTTTGTTCATATGTGTCACTGATCCACCAGGTGACAATATATGAACACAAATACAGCTGTGGAATGTCAATGATAACAACATGACAACATGTGACTCATGTTGAACAATGTCCATGGGTTGACTGGGTTATTTTAGTGCTTTAGAATTAGCTTTTGCTAAAACTTTCATTGTATTAGTGCTTTAGAATTAGGGGACATAAATATTTGAGTTAGTGTTTACGGCTAGTGGAACTAATTTTTAGGCTGCAAACTCTACCTAGAAAAGTCCCCGGGCCGCGATTTGAGCCAGCAACCTTCTTACTGAGAGGCATCAGCTCTACCAACTGAGCCACCGTGCCGCCGCAGTAATTTAAAAAGGGTAAAACCAGTGAACAATAGAGAATGTGGAGAGATCTGTGGTCCAGGGTGTATTTAGTCTCACTGAGAACTGCAATGCTTCTTGACAGTTTATTTTGAATGTGTTTTAAGTGAAGTTTCCAGCTTATTTTGTCATCTTTTATTACACCAAGAAACTTACTTTCATGTACTGTTTCTATTTCTACACCATCTGTTTGTACCTGGACTTGAATATCCCTATTACGTGTACCAAACACCATGACTTTAGTTTAGCTTTAATTTAACGATAATTTGTTTCTATCAAACCACCTCTTTATTTTGCACATTTCTGAAGTGATTGTCAGCAGTTACTCACKCAAATTATCCCCAGAACAAAAAATATTTGTTTCATCATCAAACAAGACTAATTTAATTTTCTTTGATACCATGCAAATATCAATTATTAACAATTTCAGACCCAGTACTGACCCCTGAGGGACACCACAAGCAACAATCACAWTGATCTATACTCTCCCATCTTCACAAATTGTTTCCTGCTTCCAAAGTAATGTCTCACTCAGTCCAATACTATCCCATGGCAGGGTTYGACAAATCCTTTTGCCCGACTGCCCGGGGCAGGTAAAACCCATATTSGGGCAGGTGGGTGTGTCCCRATGYCTGCCCGACTGAGAAGAGGTTGTCTGCGGAATCAAAGTGGGCGTGTYACAAGAGTGGGCGTGTCTAAACCATAAACACAGTGGGCTACGAGGCCTACATGACGGTATCCTTAGATCCTGCTTCATCTCTTTACAGCCTGACCCTGACCCCAACACTAAGTACTAAATACACTATTAGTGTATTTCCTGATGCATCTCAGTAATCCAGGTAGAAAAAAAATCAAAAAGAAAAAATAAATAGGTCCTCTGGATGGGTTCTTTTTTAGTGAAATGTTTCAGCTCTCCTCCAAGAGACTTCTTCAGTCTGAAGAGTTTAGTGTATTTTCACAAGTTTTTTTATTGTTAAATATTTTGTAA